GCTACCACTGTGCCAATCCATCTTGCTGGGGGTCTTCCTCTTTTTCTCTGACCCTCCACCTTACCAAACATGATATCTTTCTCTAGCAACTAGTCCCTCCTGACAACATGACCTAAGTATGAGAGACGAAGTTTGGCCATCCTGGCCTCCAAGGAGCATTCTGGCTGTACTTCTTCCAACAGAGATCTGTTTGTTTTTTGGCAGCCCATGGTACTTTCAATATTCTCCTACAACACCACAACTCTAATGTATCAGTTCTTCTAAGGTCCTCCTTATTCACTATCCAGCTTTCACATGCATATGAGGTTATTGAAAATACCAAGGATTGAGTCAGGCTCACCTAAGTCCTCAAACTGACATCTTCGCTCTTCAACAGTTAAAAATGTCTTGTGCAGCAGATTTGCCTAATGCAATACGTCATTTGATTTGTTGACTGTTACTTCCATGAGTGCTGATGGTTGATCCAAGAAAAATAAAGTCTTTGACATCTTCAATCTTTTCTGCATTGATAATAATGTTGTTTATTGGTCCAGTGGTGAAGATTTTTGTTTTCTTAACATTGAGATGCAATTCATATAGAAGGTTGTAGTCTTTGATCTTCATTTGTGAGTGTATGTATATGCATACACATACATACATATGTATATATACACACACATATATATATACACACACATATATATATATATATATATACACACACACATACATATAGGGAGTTATGGTAGTATAGTGGTTACAAATCAGACTGCTAACCTTACAGTCAGCAGTTCAAAATCACCAACTGTTCCATGAGGGAAACAGCTCCTGTAAAGATTTACAGCCACAGAAACCCTGTACAGGGACGGTTGCTATGAGTCGGAAGCGCCTCCACGGCACATAAGCATCACCACCACATATTTATAATTTAAGTCCTGGGGTGGCACTGTGGGTTAATGTGCTGGACAGCAAAGTCTTTTTGAATTACAAGGTCAGTGGCTAAACTCATCAGCTGCTCCTCAGAAATCCTATATAGGATCGCTATGGGTCGAAATCAACTTGATAGCACTGAACAACAACACATATATATACACACACACACACAAGAGGAATTAAAAAATTCCATTATCTTTTCATTCCATTTTTCCACAAAATCTTTTAGTCACCTTGTATATGGCTGTGTTGTATATATGTATATATGTATGCTCTTCTTGTTAAGTGCCATCAAGCTAGTTCCTGCTCACAGTGACCCTGTATAGGGTTTTTGAGGCTTTAAATATTCGAAGGACCAGAAAGCCTCATCTATCTCACATAGAGCGGCTGGTGGGCTCGAACCACAGACCTTGTGGTTCACAGTCCAGTGCTTATCGTATGGAGCCAGCACACTCCCATATATATATGAAGCCCTGGTGTGGTGCTGTGGGATAATGCACTGTACCACAGGTTGGTTTGAACTGCAAGTTCATCAGTTCAAATTCACCAGCAGCTCTTTGAAAACCTTATAAGGGTCGCTATGAGTCAGAACTGACTGGAAAGCACTTAACTACAACAATATAACCTTGCTTGCTGAAAGTGAATAGGACTTAAAATATTTACTGATGAAGATCAAAGAGTACAGCCTTCGGTATGGATTGCATCTCAATGTAAAGAAAACAAAAGTCCTCACCGCTGGACCAATAAACAATATTCTTATCAATGGAGAAAAGATTGAAGTTGTCAAGGACTTCATTCTTCTTGGATCAACTATCAACACTCATGGAAGCAGCAGTCAAGAAATCAAACACTGTATTGCATTAGGCAAATCTGTGGCATAAGATCTTTTTAAAGTGTTGAAGACCAAAGATGTCAGCTTGAGGACTAAGGTGTGCCTGACCCAAGCCATGGTATTTTCAATAACCTCATATGCATGTGAAAGCTGGAAGACCGTAGAAGAATTGATGCTTTTGAGTTATGGTGGTAGAGGAGAATATTGAAAGTGCCATGGGCTGCCAAAAGAACCAACAGATCTGTGTTGGAAGAAGTACAGCCAGAATGCTCCTTGGAGGCCAAGATGGCCAACCTTCATCTCTCATACTTCAGATGTATTGTCAAGAGGGACCAGTCTTTGGAGAAGGATCTCATGTTTCGTAAGGTGGAGGGTCTGAGAAAAAGAGGAAGACCCCCAGTGAGATGGATTGGCCAAGTGGCAGCATCAATGGACTAAAGCGTGGCAATAATAGTGAGGTTGGCCCAGGATCAGGCAGTGTTTCGTTCTGCTGTGCATAAGGTCACTATGAGTTATCACTGACTAGATGGCACCTAAGTATATATAAATGAAACATTTACCTTATGGTTATTATACTTTACACATATAATAACACTTGATACTTCATAACAATACCTCCAAGTATTGGCAATTGCATGCCACTACAAAATCATTATCCTAGCTAACAAAATTAACAGTTTTGGGTTTTTTTTCAAGTCCTTAATTTGAACTAATTTCAGTCCATGTCCAAATTTGCCTCATTGTTATTCTTGCAGGAGAATTGTCCTTAAATTTCAGCATGTCCTGGGCCTGTCCTCTCCCCACTCCCATCCCCGAGACTGTTCTGCCATTACCAAGTTTCCAACATAGCTCTGAGCCTGCTTTATTAGTACCTGTACAAAAGGTGCCATCATTGGGAATGAAAGTCTTGTTGTTGTTCGTGGCTCGGTATCCTCCTAAGCAAATGCAAAAGAAGCCTCCAGGTGTGTTGTGACAAGATGTGTGGTTTCCACAGACCACAGTAGCTCCAAATTGGCACTCATTTTTATCTGTTGATACATAGAAACAACACACAAAAAGAGCTGTCCAAAAGAGCTGTCAATCCATACAGTGATCAATAACCCAGACTAGATGCTTCCAGTTTTCTCCGTCTGTGCTATAGACTTGCGAATCAATATTCCAAGACAACAGCTTGCAGATATATTCTCCTCAGGTTCTTTTTCTTTTACTCTGCTTCTCAGACTAGGGGTCATGTGCTCTCGTAGTCATGTGCCAGGTGAATATGAAACCACAAGAGAAATACATCTTATTTGAAAATTGGAACATACACACACTCATACAGACACTTCCTCAGCTGTCAAGTTAATTCCGATTCACAGTGACCCTATTATAGGACAGTGTAGAATTGCCTCAGAGAGTTTTCAAGATTGAAAATCTTCATGGAAGCAGATTGTCACATCTTTGTTTTTCTAAAGCACATGGTGGGTTTGAACCACCAACCTTTTTCTTTAACCAATGCACCACCAGCGCTCTTTCAAAAGGTTGCATTTAAAATGTCTGGTCCAAATCAGCAGAATTATACTTTTCCAGCTCAGTCATCTTCTTGCTTTTTCAGAAAAGCCAGAGGAGTAGGAGGTTTTTATATCAATGATTAACTGGGGAATTTGTTACTTCTGAGTTACCAGGAAACACAATGGAATTAGTGCGGAAGCCTCATCCGGGAGCAGGGCTGATATTGCAGCAGGAACAGCTCAAGTTAATTGTTAATGACCCGTGTGAGTAATGCTAGTCATCCAGTGGGGAGGAGATGGAACAGGGAATGTTTGATGAACCCACAGAAGCCTGCTCATAATTAAATATAATTAAATAATTGGAAATTTGAAAGACATAAAGTAAAAGTAATTTTTCCTCCTATCTCTGTCCACTAGCCTAGGGATCAACATACTTTTTTTCTGTTAAGGCCCAAATAGTACAATAAATACTTAGACTTCATAAGCTATATGATCTGTTGCAATGACTCATCTGTGCTGTTGAAGCATAAAAACAATCACAGACTTGTTGTTGTTGTTAAGTACCATGGAGTCGGTTCCGACTCATAGTGACCCTGCACAGGGTTTCCGAGGCTGTAAATCTTTACGGGAGCAGAAAGCCTCATCTTTTTCCTGCGGAACCTACTCATAAATAAATAAGCATAGCTGTGTTCCAATAAAACTTTATTTAAAAAAATAGACACAGAGCTAAATTTGGTGTGTGGGCCATAATTTGATCACCCTATCATAGCTTCTAGTTTCAGAGGCAACCTTGATGTCTGATTTCTTATTCATCTTTTAAGGGAAAAATCATTAATTTATGGACTAGTGGTGTTTTGTTTGTTATTTAATGTTTTCTTATGCCACTGTTTCCTCAGTTCAGCTCAACTTCCTCTTATAATGCTACTAAAACAGCCCCCCAAATCTGTTTTTGCTTTGTTTTATTTTCCTTATTCTTATATTATCTCTTATACATTTAAGTGACCCTGGAACACAATTCACAGTTAAAACAGTGGGTGGTAAGCAACTCCAAAGATTATATAGGAACCTTACTGGGCAGTGAATTGATGTTAGCAGGGAAGAACAACTCAGAAAAGGGGGGGTGAGAATTGTTGCACAACTCAAAGATTAATGTCATTAATGTCACTGCACACATAGAAATGACTGAATTGGTGTACATTTTGCTCTGTATATTAACAACAACAACAAAATTAAATTAAAAACTGTGTGTGGCAAGATTTGCATTAGTGCTTAGAAAGACACCACCACCCCCATACTCTAGGTCAGTGTCCAAGCCAGCTTACAAAGCACTGTATGCAGGTTTCAAACACAAGTCCAGCTATCCATACAATGGGAGTTTCCTATCCATTGCTGTAGTTTCTGAGGCATAACTGTTTCTGAAGTCTCCCCTATAACTTCACCAGAAGGGACACTTGGGTTTGGTACAAGATCCTAGAAACCTTAGGTGACTTGATCTAATACCGTATTATAGCAACTTTGGCACACATATAACCTCACTTGTAATCTGTGGTGCAGTCTCAGGAAGCCAGGTACTGAGATAGGGATACTCAGGCCCAGCATTTGGGAGCAAGGGCTTCTGGTGCGGTGCTCTACGATCAGCACTGGACTATGAACCACAAGTTTACAGTTCAAACTCATCAGCTACCCCTCAGGAACCCTATACAGGGTTGCTGTGAGTTGGAACTGACTTGATGGCACCTAACAACAGACAGCAACATCACATAAACTGAAGTCCTGGTGTGGTGTTGCAGGATGATGCACTGGACCACAAGGTTGGTTTGAACCACTAGGCCAGGGTTTCAAACTCACTAGCTGCTCCTTGGAAACCCTATACAGGGTGGCTATAAGTCAGAATCAACTCGACAGCACTTAACAAAAAAACAATATCACATAAATTAATAACCCCCTCTCCAAAGAAAAGTTTCTCTTCAGAAGTGAAAAAGTGATCAAGAAAGCAGATATCATTAATAATAGGAGGAATTCATTTAAGTAGGGGGCAGAAAAGACTTACTCATGCTCCCCAATTTGTTTCCAAGCCCCTGATAACAAAGGAGAAATCACACATGTCATGGATGGAAGTTTAAAGGGAGAAACTCAAAGGTGACCCAATTCCAGCCTGCAGGATGGGTCAGTGGGTGGGATTGTGAAGCCCCTGTCAAATGGAATGCTCTGGGGAAGCTGTTGGTATGACTTTTTGAACTCAGGACTGAGTTGTTACTTGTCTTCAGGGAGGGAAAAAGATAATACAACAAGACTACACTGTCAATCCACAACTGCAATACAAAGCTATCTGTATTTTGATTGTGTGTAACAAGGTTGCTGGAAAGAATCTGAAAGATTCGTGTAAATTTACTGTTATTACAAAGTTGTAAAATCTCACTCTGAATTGAGCTTGAACCTAGATAGTGTGGTGGCTCTATATGATAAGCCCTGGACTGCAAACCACAAGGTCCGCAGTTTGAGTCTGCAGCCACTCCATGGGAGAAGGATGAGGCGTTCTGCTCCCACTAAGATTTAAAGCCTTGGAAACCCTATACAGGGTCACGATGAGCTGCACAACCATAGTGGATGTCTTAGGGCAAAATCTAATGTTCTCAGATGTTTCTAATTGAATGGCCTTTCTGTTCCTTTAAGTCACCCAAGACCCCACCTATAAAATAATTCAGAGGGTGGATTCTAATAGACATGATTCAAAGCAGTAACATTTCACTGATTAGTCAACAAGATTAACAGAAAAGTGTGCTTTGTTTTTCCTCAACGTATGAAGATTGTTGTTGTGGTTATGTGCCGTGGAGTCGGTTCAGACTTATAGCAACCCTGCACAGGGTTTCTGAGGCTGTAAGTCTTTATGGGAGCAGAAAGCCTCCTCTTTCTCCCGCAGAACAGCTGGTAGTTTTGAACTGCTGACCTGTGGTTCGCAGCCCAATTCGTAACCACTATGCTACCAGAGCTTCTTAAAGTATGAAGATGAATAGCTTTATATCAAAATAATTAGAAAGTTTGAGAAATGCAATATTTATTCGAGTTGTTAAATCAATCTCAAGTCTTAAAACAGATTTCAAATTTGTGTTAGATCAGAGAGTTCTCAGATACTCAAGTTCAATGACCTCTAACATGAGGACACTTCCTTGGACATATTAGAGAAAAGATATATCCAAACACTAAAACAAAGACTTTTTATAGTTCACAAAACTTCTTATAATAAGAGCATTATACAAAAATAACATTGTTTCCCCCCAAGGACATCAACTATTCTACACCAGAGAATCTTGCTTCATGATGCAACTCTTCAATCTAGCTCAGCATTCAGAACTTACCAACACACTGGGTCCTCCCATTGCCCACAAATCCATAATTGCAAATACAGATCTTCTTCCCTCCTCTTTGCTGGCAGGTGGCAAGTTCATGGCAAGTGGCACAGACATCTAAACCTGAATCATAAATTGTACATTTCAGTAAAGGAAAAACTCAGTTACCTATTCTAAACAACTCACACTTTGGATAATGGATTCAAAAATTGGGGAACCAAAATTTGAAGATCAAAATATAATAGGACAGGTCTATTCTCATCCCTAAAAACTTTCAATGGTTACTATTGCTCATCGAACAAAGTGCAAATTCTTCTATGAGGCAACAAATGCTCTTAAAAGTCTAACAGACTAACTCCTCCCTCCTCATTGCTCTATTCCTAAGCCCACAATGTAGTCTCTAGCCAGTAGAAGCCACTACCCTTTCCCTAACATTTATTGTTGTTGTTATTGTTGTTGTTGGGTGCTGTCAAATGGGTTCCAATTCATGGTGACTCTGTATAGGGTTTCTGTGGAGCAGCTGGTGAGTCTGAACTGCCAACCTTGTTGTGTGAAGTCTAGTGCTTATCCTACAGTGCCACACCAGGAGTCCTTCCCTAACATGCTACCACTACAATACTGCCTGGCTTTAGCCATATTACCTTTACCTTGAATATCTGTCTCTTCTTCTCTGTACCTACTCATATCTCAGGATCTAACTTAACTGTCACATTCTCTCTGAAGCCTTCCCTATTCCACCATTCTTTTTTTTTTCCCCTAAGTTTTATTCATTTTGTTTTTGTTGTTGTGATTATACACAGCAAAACATATACCAATTCAACCATGTACAATCTAGTGACCCAGATAAATCCTTCAAATGGCACAATTATTCTTACCTTCCTTTTCTGAGGTGTTTCTCCTCCATTAACATAAATCACTGCCATCTACAGCTGCTGTCTATTCTTTCAAGTTGTTGTTGTCAGTTTGATGCCATATGGTGGTGGTGGTGGTGATGTGTTGTGAAGTCGGTTCTGACTCATAGCAACCCTGTACAGTGTTTCTGAGACTATAAATCTTTATGGGAACAGAAAGCTTCATCTTTCTCTCGCAGAATGACTGGTAGTTTTGAACTGCTAACCTTGAGCAGCCCAACTCGTAACCCCTGTGCTACCAGAGCTCCTTTTGATGTCATATAGATAGTTTTTAAGAGAGCGTGATGCTCAAGGCAGATCATTTTCACTAGTTAAGGCATTGTTCAGTTTTAAGAGGATGTCAGAGGTATTTTTGGTTTAAGATTTAAAGATTATCTTGGGGCAATAGTTGCAAAGGTTCATCCACCCTCCATGGTTCCAGAAAGTCTGAAGTCCATGAAAATTTTAAATATTGTTCTGCATTTTCCCCCTGTTGAACAGAATTCTTCCATGAGGTTTCTGATCAAAATGTTCAGTAATAACTAGCCAGGTACCATCCATTCTTCTGGTCTCATGGTAAAGAAGGCAATTTGTCCATGGAGAGAGTTAGACACATAATCCATATCTTCCTATGATTCCTGACTCTTTTCCCTCTGTTTTACCAGGCTATTAGAAACCAATTGTTGGGTCTTAGATGGCCCATTCCTCCATGCTTACAGAACATTAAGACAGAACATTCCTCTGTGCTGTCCTTATACTGGTACATTCTGATATCGACCATGTACATTTGTCATTATATTTTATTCCAGTTCTGTCTTCTCTGCTAAGTATTGTGAATGAGTTTCTAAGGGAAAGAGATTGTCTCCTTTTTCTAGATCCTGACACAGTAGAAATGCTCAGTAGATTTTTATTGATAGAATGGATGAATGAGCCTGTGCTCTTTCTTGCTACAATTCAAAAAGTCAATGGAGGGGAAAGGAAGGTATCTGTCTATTAAACACCCACTTTTCTTTTAGGGAAGAAGTGAATGTGTTTCAGATAACAATGAGATGACAGGTAGGCCCCAGCAGGATGATCAGATTCCCATTTTTTTAGGTAAACAGCAAAAATAGTTAGAGCTAAAAGTCTCAAATGATCCAGATCTACCAGATGGATGTATGGTCCAAGATGTATGGCCAAATTTAAAAAAATAATAATTTCTAGCAGAGGCTGTGTAAGCTATTGCTTTACTCAGAGTACCTCTGTGATTTCAGGAGTGGTCTTGGAAGGAAAGCCTTTCCAGTATGGAATTTCATCTTTGTTCTGGCCCCATGACTCCCCATGTATTACAGGTCAAGCCTTCAGGCTGCTCCAGGAAGGAAACCAACAGAGACCCAGAGGTTTCTAAACACTTTTAGCCATCCTTACTTTAAAAAGTAAAAATAAAGGAGCACAGAAATGGAAAATTCACCATGAAATATTTGCAAAATTTATTATAACCCAGACCATAAAGAACAATTCAATAAATTCCAAAAAAGAAAACTTAGAGGCCTAAGTAGCTGACCACAATATAATACAATACAATACAACTAAAAAATAAAACAGAAAACTAGCATCCTCAAAAGAAAGCCTGCTTGGAAACCACAAAATACAACCAACTGAGGCCTAATTGCTTGAGGACTCAGTAGCCTTGTGAGGGGAAACTTTGTATTTAACAACAACAAAAAAATAAGCAAAAGATTTCTGGCAAGATGGCAGACTAGGCAGAAGTACTATACGGACCCTCTACAACAAAGATACGAGAGACAAAATAAAACAGACATAGATAGAAATTCTGGCACCCTGAACTTCAAAAGGAAGATTAGAAAGGAGGATGGAGTGCTTGCTGGGAATAGAAGCTGAGGAGAGACCACAAGAGAGGGAGACTGACTGGTGAACAGCTGGTCAGATGTGGCTTGACCATCTTGTAAGCAGCTTTATCAGCATAGGGAGGCCTGGCAGAGCAGATTTGCCTGGAAAAGGTGTGTTTTCTTCTTTTTCCCCCACACTCCCGTGGTGAACAGAAGTGTGGTCAGCTCCTACCCTCAACCATTCCCAGTGCAGAACCGGCTCTCTGGTAGTTCAGGACCACGTGACTGGGAGCCATGCCAGTGTGAGGTGGGGGCTGGCTATGCCGCTTTGGTGTGCTACTTTAGTGCCTGGATTCAGGTGGACTCAGCTCCCGACTTACAAAACCCACAGAGCCACCAGAACTCCATTTAACTAGTCACCCTGCCCCAAGCTGCCTGTGGTCCTAACAGACCCTGAAACCTGCTCCATCAAGAGCCCCCAGTCACTACTTCCAGATTGAGAGCCCTGAACAGATATAACACCGAGGCCAACAGGTACTCTGTTGGGGTCAAGAACTCTGCTATCACATCCCTTCCACAACTACCTCCTGAGCTCCTTGAATTGCAGGAACCCACCAAAGATTTCTCCCCTTGGGGTCCAACAACTGCACTGTTTGTTTTTATAAATATAACAGTCTGACAATGCCCCGGAGACAACAGATAATTTTAGCTCACACGAAGAATCAAGAGAGAATGGGTCAACCAAATGACCAAGATGCAGAGCCATAAGATGTTTCTGAAGGAGAAAAGGTAATAGAACTAAATGAAAATAATTTTAAAATAATTAGGTACCTTCAAAGGATCGATAGAAAGATCAGGAAAGCAAGGAGAACAAGTAAAAACTTTAGAAGAATTCAGGGAAACACTATAAGAAAAGACAGACAACAAAAATAAAAATGTAGAACAATATAAACTCTACAATTATTGTGGTTGTTAGGTGCCATCGAGTCGGTACCGACTCATAGTGACTTATGCTCAGCAGAACGAAACACTGCCCGATCTACAAATAGAAAACTCTACAATTAGAAATCCAGAATATTAATACTAAGATCTCAGAAATGGACAATACATTGAAAGGGCAAAGAAGTAGATATGAAGCAATGTAATCCCAAATTAGTGAACTTGAAGATATATCTCTCAATACTAGCATGCTAGAAAAATCAGAAAAGAAAATGAAAAACTTTGACGAAAACCTGACTAAGAGTTATATGGGATACCAGGAAGAAGAAAATTTTCTGAGTAATCAGAATTCCAGAACAGGAAAAGACCAGCACAGAGAAAGTTGTCAGAGTTGCTGGAAGAAAATTTCCCTAACATTATGAAAGACAAGACGATAAGCATACAAGAAGCTAAAAAAAAAAACCCAAACAGAATAGATCCCAAAAGAAAATCACCAAGACGTATCAAAATCAAACTTCCCAAAATCAAAGACAAGGAAAGAATCCTGAGAGCAGCTCAGGAAAAACGAAAAATTGCCTACAGAGGAGAATCAGTAAGACTAAGCTTGGATCTCTCAGCCGAAATCATGTAGGCATGAAGGCAATGAAAAGACATATATAAAACTTTGAGAGAAAAAGACTGCCAACCAATAATTATATACCCAGCAAAGCTGTCCTTCAAAGACAATGGTGAAATTAAGACATTTCCTGATAAACAGAAATTAAAGGAATTTGTAATGACCAGACCAACTTTACAAAAAATGTTAATGGGTGTTCTTTGGACTGAGAACCAGAAACTGCAGGAACAGCCTGAAAATACCATTCATGACAATACCACTCAGAACTCAATTCAACTATAGAAGTATTTAAAGTAAAACAAACCTACAAGACTGAAAATAGGGAAACAGAGATATCAATGTATAATGAAGCCAACTACAGAGCAAAAAGAGGGAATGTAGATTCAGAACTTTCAAATGGCAAGGAAGTCAAGTAAATTTCAAGAAAGACCAGACTGTTTTAAGCAGGGAAAAAATTAATAAATTGCAGGGTAACCTCAAAGAAAAATAATACACCTGCACATCAAAATAAAAAAAGAGGAAAATCAGAAAAATTTAGTAAACATTAACTCAATAAAAATGGAAATGACAAGAGAAACCCATAAACAAAATGAACTCAGCATAGAAAATTACGTGAAACAAAGAATCCAGCAGCACCAAAAAAAAAACACTGAAAATGACAACAATCAATTCATACCTACTGATAATTACACTGAATGTAAATGGATTGAATGTCAAGAGACATAAAGAGCAGAATGGATAAGAAAACAGGACCCTTCAATATATTGTCTACAAGACACATATCAAAAAGATGAAGACAGTCTAGCTATCAACAGACGAATGGTTAAACTTTGTTGCATATACACAATGAAATACAACAAAACATTGAAGAATCATGATGGATCTGTGAAACATCCTACAACATGGTTGAACCTGGAGGACTTTATGCTGAGTGAAATTAGTCAATCACAAAAGGACAAACATTGTATGAGACCAATGTTGTAAAAAGTTTTTTGGTTTTTTTTAAGTTTTCTTGATAAACACTTTATGATGGTTACAGAGGCAGTGGGGAGGGAAAATTATTCATGGGCTAGAGGGTAGGCATAATCCTGGTGTGGTGCTGTGGGTTAATGTGCTGACTGCAAAGTTGGTTTGAACGGCAAGGTCAGCAGTTCAAGCTCACCAGCTACTTCCTCAGAAACCCTATTCAGGGTCACTATGGGTCAGAACCAACTTGATGGTACTTTACAAGAAGAGAGTAAACACGTTAAGATGGGTGACAGGGAAGGCAATGTACAACAAGAGGAAGGACAGCAAAGGAAAGATGAAGGTAGCGGAAGACACAGGGAGGAATGCAACAGTTAAGATGAATAGAGGTAAATGCTGCTAACTGTTGGTACATGGAGGGGATTGAAATCATATAATGAAGCAAAGTGTGTTGTTTGTTGAATGCGAAACTAATGCTCTGACCTGTAAACCTTCACTCAATTCACAATAAAAAGTAATAATTTTTTTAAAGCCCCACCCAAATTGTATAGAAAAGAAGAGGGAAGAAATACCATCCCAGTCCAACAACAGACAGGAAGACTGCTTTTGATAGTACAACAGTGTCCATTGTTCAACAGCCTCTGACTCACCTGAATTAGAGTGTCCAACTCATCCCACGTTTAACACTGAAAGTCCCATGTCCTGGGAAACTCCTCAATCGCTTGCAAACTAGCATGACTGTGGTTGCACTCATCATAGTGTGGTACACCTGGGAACTTCTTAGAAATGCATATTCCCAGCCTCACCCTGCACATAGAATCAGAATCCTTGGGGACACTGTTTTAACAAGCTCAACCTCAAGGACTTGGTTTGGAATTTTGGAAAAAGCCAAGGCAGTACTGAGTCTTTTACCATGTTAAATAGAAGCACAGCAAAGCTATGAGACCAGTATGAATGACAGAGTAACCCAAGAGACAGGAATTCTCCAAACCAAGAGAAAGCTCACACTATCTTTACTGCTGTAGCACAGATGAGGGGCATCTGTGTTAAGGGCAGACTTCATATCCATGTCCACATGAACTTTAGCTCCATCACCAACAGACTTGGTGGCTTGAGAGCAGAGAGGTGGCTTCCATATAGTAGTTGAGCTAACTGCTAAAGTAAGGTCCTTGCTGAGACTCTTAGAATTACTGGTAGAGAAATAGGAGGAGGGAAAGTCAGACAAATATTACTGTTACTATTATTGTATCATCAGGCTGGGGTTGCCACCCTAAGTTTGTTTCCCACTGCCACTCTGAAATGACTCATCTAAAACTACATCCAACAGAGAGAGGGTGAGACAGGTTTTGGTGTCTCAACCTAGGTTAGAGTCTTCTTCCTTGTTCCCTGGTTATTAATTTAGGCAAATTAAACTTTCAGTGCTCCAGTTTTTTTAATGTTAGGTGGAAATCATGTTGTGAGGATTGAGTAAGAAATATACATGCTGATGAACTCTAGAGACTATACAAATGTGAGAGATAATTTACATGAATGTTTGTCAATTTCCACGTTATTATCTTTAGAAATAAATCACGTGAGATGCCCCATGACTAGTATTTGGCATAGTGGTTAAGAACATAGATTACAGAGTGAGATTGTTGTTGTTATTAAGTGATGTCCAGTCAGTTCCAACCCCTAGTGACCCTGTGTAGTTTCCAATGAGAGGCTGATGAGCTTGAACCACGAACCTTGTAGATCAAACCAGCTCTATAGTCCAGTGCATTAACCCACAGCTCCACCCACACCAGGACTCCGAGAGATTATGTGGTTTATAACCCTAAACTGCCATTTACTGACTCTGTGATCCCTGACAATCTCTGTGCCTCAATTTTGTGTAAATCTGTAAAATGATGATAATAAGAGGCCTGCCTTAGCTGATTGTAAGGATCAAAGAGAAAATGAACTAATACATTAAAGCAATTAGCACACGCTAGCCATTATTATAATAACCACTCTACTCTTTTTTGATGAGTAAACCAAGTACTAACATCAGCAACTAGTTAGCCAAGTCCCATTTACAAGGAATGTGATAAAGAATAGCAGTGATGCAAAAATCCAAATCAGTCTTTGTGTGGACTGACGCCTACCTATGCACTGGGATGATATTCCGGAAACATTACATCTCAGTTGACGTAATCACTCTCTGCCTTCTCTCCCTCTTGTAGGCACAAAGGTTAACTGCTTAACTGCTAATCAAAAGGCCTGAATTTCGAACCTAGCTGCTCCATGGGAGAAAGAAGAAGCAGTCCGTTTCCAAAAAGATTTTCAGACTTGGAAGCCCCATGGGTAGTTAGTTCTACTCTGACCTATACGGTTGTTATGAGTCAGAACTGACCCAATGGTGGTGGGCTTGTTTGGTTTTTGGTTATAGAGTTGCTGAGTCAGATTCTATTCTACAACAGTGGGTATTTGGGGAGGTCCTCCTCCTCACCCCCCTGTTCCAGTGTTCTTGGTAATACCTGACTCAGAAGTTGGGAGTTTGCCTTCTTCACCCCTTCAGGTTTGTTCACCTCTCCCTCCTCTCCAACAAACATCAAGAAAACCTGTATCTCAGGAGGGAACAGAAGCTGCCAGCCTGAGCATACTGCTCTGGCTCCTGACTTCAATGTGAGAGCAACAACTCCTTCCATGCACTTCTAAAATCATAGAAGACGGACTTTAGCAATATGATGAAAAGGCTTTCTCCAAGTCAAGGGAAGAAAGTAGGTTAAAGCACAAAACTTGCATTTAAATTCT